TGTGCGTGTGTGTGTGCGTGTGTGTGTGTGTGTGTGTGTGTGTAGAACGGGTAGAGTAGAGCTTAGAGTAGCTTAGCGTAGCTTAGAGTAGCACAGAATGTCGTCGAGTAGCTTAAGAGTGTCGAAAACAACTTCTAGCATAGAGAAGCGCCGGCGTCGACTCTAACTCGGCGACTGTCCGTAGCAAACCGCCGTCCGGTAGACCTGCCCTCAATTCGGCAGTGCGCGTGCCGCAAAAATTAGTTACTATACGTTGTAGCGGAGTTGTAGCGGTAGCGCGTCACACGCAACCCCAGTACCGCATGCGGTAGGGCCGGTAACACGCTTCGGTACCGGCGCTGGCGCATGGGCGCGGTACAGCGCGTGGTACTGGCACTGGCCACGGGATCGGTACCGGCCCTGGCGTGGAGCCGCAACGGTTCAACTTCTGAGAGCAAACGAACAGCAGACGATCGGGACCGTCGCGGAGTGTAAAATCAGAGGGCCCCGATCGTCTGCTTGTCACAGGCCGAAAATAAGCGATAGTTATATATGTAGGGATCAGGGTTCCATCGGCCGGACGGAACGAAGCGTGAGAGTGTCCTATGATGTAATTACTTTTCCTGACTTGTCAATGGAATAGGAACCGGGCTGATGCTCCCCAGAATGGAAATGGCGCCAGGGCCATAAGGACCTGTTAAAAAAAAAAAAAAAAAAAAAAAAAAAAAAAAAAAAAAAAAAAAAAAAGAAGAAGATGATAGAGCAAGCGAATAAGCACCGCAGACCTTCGCAGTTTGCTGTAGGGGATTTGGTCTGGGTAAAGTCTGAGGAGTTTCTCCCAGAGGAGAACATCTCGCAGAAGTTATTGCCTGCGTATAGGGGACTGTGGCAGATACTTGATGTGATTGGTGATGTAGATGGTCCTTCCTACGTCGTTGAGATTGCTCCACATTTGCACACTTACCCGGTGTTCCATGCCTCTAAGTTGCTCCGTTGTGTCAGCGATGAGCTATTCCCGTCTCGAAGATCTATGATTCCTCCTGATATGGATGGCAAGTATGACATGGATCGCATCGTTGCAGAGGATGTTTATAGATCGGGACACACGGGTAGAGCTCGGCGACAATATAAAGTCAGGTTTGCTTATCAGGAACCTTCGGAAGATCGCTGGTTTACCAGAGACGAACTAATAGAGACAGCACCGAACATAGTGTCTCACTAGGAGAGGGCTAGAAGAGGAATCAACATAATTAATAGGTAAAGATTGTATCTTCCTCGGAGGACCTCAAAATTAGGCCGGCGAGAGTGAAAGGCATTCCATGATGCAGACCCCAAATTCGAATCCCAGGCTCAAGGTCTCAGATCAAAAGAGGCCAAATCGGCCAGTTCAGAAAAGTCACAGTCAGGTACAGGAGTCAAGTCCAACAGGCACCTGGTGAACAGTCACATCCCAGTGGCAAAAGTTGTATTCCATAAGCATAAGTCACTTCTCATATTGAAAGGTCATATCTCACAGGCGAAGGACACTTCTCCAGACAAAAGTCGAGTTCCAGAGGCAAGAGTCACATCCCACAGCCAAAAGTCATGTCCCACAGGCGAAGAGTCGTGACTCACAGACCCAAGCAGCAGCACACCAATGAAAATTCGGGAAAGCACCAGGCCTCAGCATTCTGAAGCAAACAGGCCGTGGGCATGTGGTGCCGGGACCAAGTCAAACCAAAGGGAGCAGAGGCTGGACGAGTTCAGGCTCAGTCCAAGTTAATATAAGGACTGGCCAGCCACATTTCAGGGAGATTGTTCATTCGTGAGAAGTGTGGAAGTGCTGCTGAAGCGCTTGTGCGCTATCTGCGAGTAGCATGCCCGTGAGCCCTGCTGGGCAGCGCTGTGCTGAGGAGGGAAGGCGGCCATAGCCGCTCAGCTAGTAGTAGGAGGTAGACCTGAGTAGCGGATGTATTCAGAGTCAAGATCCTCAAGTAGAGAGAGAGAGGGGGAGAGAGTAGAGGGAGAGAGTGAGCGCATGCATGAAGAAGGCAGAGAGAGAGAGAGGGGGGGAGAGAGGGAGAGAGTGAGGAAGAGAGAGAGAGAAGAGAGTCACCTACCTTAAATGAGGAAGCTGGAATTGGGTTGTCGAACTCCGCGCTGATGGGCGCTTGGTGACTGGAATTCTTTTTTTTTTTTTTTTTTTTTTTGTTTTAGGTGACTGGAACTCTGAGACTGTCTAATATGATAATTTGTTGGAATTTCTAAGCTGCGCTTATCTGGAGTTTGCATCTCTGGTCTCCATTGTGGATTCGTGTGATCTCTGAGGCTCAATGCAAACTGGAGGAATGGATAACCGACACTATGGTGTTAAGGGTGTACTCACAGTAAAAAAAAGTAGCTCTGCGTGAAGTGAATTTACCCGCGACTGAAGTCAGAAACATATGAGAAAGTTGTATGCTCACCTTCGAATACGCTGCTTCTGTTTCTTGGATGGTCTTGTCGTATTCATTTCTTGCCGCGACCTTCCGCGCAAGGCTGTCATTGATCTGCGCCAGCCGTTTCGTAAGAACAGCAATATCGGTCTGGATCTTTGCCTTCTCTTCCTCTTCTTTGGCAAGCAATCTGTTTACCTCCTCTCGCTTTTCTCGTAAATCCTCTATGCCTGCAGGTGCTCATGGGATGCAGTTGGTGCATGGACAGAAACAACTCACAAATCAGTCTATCAGCAACAGCATTATAAAGCCACTATCATGCCGCCAGACTCGTCATCAATTTGCTCCCCCTCTTTCTTTCTTTCAATACCTTCTGTCTCTTATTCCATGACAGTGCGCTGAGTCCATAGTGCACGTGTCTGTGTGCTTAAAGATGAATGGCGATCTTGTTGCATTGTTCTCATCAGCTCAAGGGTTAAAGTTCCCCATTACACCAACGTCTTTCTGAAGCCATTCCATGCAACAAGAACTTTGCCACATCTTGCTTGTTACTGTAAATATCATGGCTACCATGGACCCGGACACCCGACCGATCCGGACCCAGACAACCGGTCGGTCCGGATATGATCCGGACGTCCGGATTTCAGGAGCAGTCCGGACCATCCGGGCATGGTCCGTATCGGTCCAGATGATAATGTCCGGATTGGTCCGGATTGAAAAAAACAAAAACAAAAAAAACTGGCAGGTCTCTTATGCATGCTGATTGTAGTTTCATCGTATAACCGTCACTTAAGGGGAAGTGTTCCAGGAAGACATAGCTGTTGGCATATATGACAAACATGAATGATCATTCCTTGACATTCACTGTGCTGGCACAGTCACTGCAAAGCACAAACTGCAGCGAGGGAAGAAAAAGTGAAGAAACAAAAAAAAGCGCACTCCGCACAGAGTCCGCAGTAAACTTGAAAAAAGGTAAATATTAAATAAAGTTCAAGACTTTAGCAGTTCAGAATTGAAAGTTCAAAGTTCGAAGTCTGAGTTCAAACTCTCCCTCTCTCTCTCTCTCTCTCTCTCTCTCTCTCTCTCTCTCTCTCTCTCTC